GTGGGACTTCTCTCAAGAATTCAAGGCTATTTTAAACTCTGAATATTAATTAATATAATAAATCATATTAACAGAATTTAAAAAAAGCAAAATCACATGATCATTGCTTTAGATACAGAAAAACATAAAATAAAAATAAAAATACAATACCTTTCCATGATAAAACACTAAAAACCCAAACAAACAAACAGACAAAAAACAGGAATAGAAGAAGACATTGTTGTGCTGATGAAGGGGTCCTTGGAAAACCCCCGCCACTAATATCGTACATATTGAGGAAAGACAGTGAGTTTTCTGCCTGCAGTCAGGAACAAGACAAGGGCATTCGCTTTTGCTCCTTATATTCAGTATTGTACTGGAGGTTATATTCAGGACTGTTAGTCAAGAAGAAGAAATAAAGGACAGCCAGGTTGAAAACAAGGAATTAAAAAATACCTCTGTTTGAGATGACATGATCTAATACATAGAAATTCCTGAAGGTTTATTATAAATAATAAATGAGTAATACAGGGACCAGCAAGTGGCATAGTGATTAAGATGCTGGGCTCCTCTATGACCAACTGAAGTTTGAGTCCCAGACCCAGCAGCTTGCATCTCAAACTGTGTGTGTGTGTGTGTGTGTGTGTGTGTGTGTACCCAAAATCCCAAGAGGAGAATGGAGGAAAAGGGATTACAATGTGACCATTCCCCTGTGGGGCTATTTTTCACTTTCTGTCTCTTTGTCTCTCTTGAGAGTACACACCCTATAGCAAAAAAAACCTCTAATAAATAAATAAATAAAAAATAAGTAGGATACAAAAATCAAGACTCAAAAATTAGGACCAGCAGTTGGTGTAATGGTTACATCACTGGATTCCCACACCGCTGTCTGTGGTTTGAGTCCTAGACTCGGCAGCTTGAAACTCACACTGGGCTCATGTGTATGTATGCCTAAATTCCCAAGAGGAGACTGGAGGAGAAGGAATTGTGGGGTGACTTCTTGCTTTCTATCTTTCCGGCGAGTTCACGTGCCCTATAACAAAAATTTCTCTAAAAAAAAAAAAGGTTTAAAAACCCAATTGTATTTCTCTCTGTCTTCAATGAAAAAAAAATCTAAAAATGAAATCAAGCAACCAATTTTATTCATAATAACATCAAAAAGAATAAAATTCTTAGAAACACATTGAATAGATGAAGTGCAAAATTTATACTCTGAAAATGATTAAAAAATTGCTCAGCGGCTGAGGAGAACGGGAGGAGGTCGCGGCAATGTGAAGATGGCTCCCTCTCCCACCAAACGCAAAAACCGCTCTGATGAGAAGTCCAAGGATCGCTCTAAAGATAAAGGGGCCACCAAGGAGTCCAGTGAGAAGGACCGCGGCAGGGATAAGACTCGAAAGAGACGCAGTGCTTCCAGTGGTAGCAGCAGTACCAGGTCAAGGTCCAGTTCGACCTCCAGCTCGGGCTCCAGTACTAGCACAGGCTCCAGCAGTGGCTCCAGCTCCTCCTCGGCATCCAGCCGCTCAGGAAGTTCCAGCACATCCCGTAGCTCCAGCTCCAGCAGCTCCTCTGGCTCTCCCCGAGCCCTTCGCGGCGCAGACATGACAACAGGCGGCGCTCCCGATCCAAATCCAAGCCACCTAAAAGAGATGAAAAGGAGAGGAAAAGACGAAGTCCTTCCCCTAAACCCACCAAAGTACATATTGGGAGGCTCACCAGGAATGTGACCAAGGTGAGGGTCTTGGGTAAGCCAGCAGGCGAGCTTAAAGGACATGGCCTTTCTGTGTACTGTCACATGTGTGTCCGGGAGATTGATCCCAGAAAGACAGTGGTTCTCAGCAGATGGTAAAGCCATTTAACTCTTAGTCATGGTGTGGTGAATTCTCTTATCACCACTACTAGGCAAGCCCTAGAGTGACCTTCTTTTCTGCAGGATCACATCATGGAGATATTTTCCACCTATGGGAAAATTAAAATGATTGACATGCCCGTAGAAAGGATGCACCCCCATCTGTCCAAGGGCTATGCCTACGTGGAGTTTGAGAATCCAGATGAAGCTGAGAAGGCACTGAAGCACATGGATGGAGGTGGGTGACCCTGCCAGCATCCCTGACTTCCCACCTCTTCTCCCTGGAGCTCTTTCAAGATCCAGTGCTTTCTCTTTCGTGTTTTACCAAAAACATGCTTTATGGAGCACTATTCTTGAAAACATATTCAGCAAATGAATATATTAGCATTTTAAGAAGTTTTCAATCTGTTAAAGGCTGAAGGATAAAATGAAGGTTTTTGTTTTAAGAATTATTCTATTTAATTTTATTTATTCATTCTTTTACTTTTAATTTGACCAGAGAGAGTAAGAGAGGGAAAGTGAGAAAGCAAGCCACCAGGTCTGGGGCTCGAACCATGGTCGGCCATGTGGGACCGTCCAGCGCTTTAACCACCCTGCCACCTGCTGGTCTCCAATGAAGATTTCTTACAAAGCATGTGTTTGGGTTTTGTGTTGTTTTTGTGTGTGCATGTGTGTTTTTAATTATTTATTTAATTTTATTTATTCATTCATTTATTTTAATTTGAGCAGAGAGCAATACACAGAGAGAGAGAGGGGGGGGGGGAAATGAGAAAGCGAGCTACCAGGTCTGATATTCGAACCACAGTCGGCCATGTAGGAGTGTCCAGCACCTTAGCCACCCCACCACCTGCTGGTCCCCTTGTGTGTGGGGTTTTTTTGTTTGGTTGGTTGTTTTGGGGGGATTTTTAGAATTATTTATTTAACTTTATGTATTCATTCATTTTTAATTTGACCAGGGAGAGAAGGTGAGAAAGCAAGTCACCAGGTGTGGGACTCAAACCATGTTGGCCATGTGGGAATGTCCAGCTTCTTATCCACCGCACCACCTGCTGGTTCCTATATTTGGGGACTCAAACCATGTTGGCCATGTGGGAATGTCCAGCTTCTTATCCACCGCACCACCTGCTGGTTCCTATATTTGGGTTTTTTAAGAGAGATTTTTGCTATAGGGCTGTGTGCTTGCCAGAGAAACAAAGCGAGAAATCACCCCCCAGGGAGGGTGGCCGTGCTGCAATCCCTTCTCCATTCTCCTCTTGGGATCGAGGATGCGCTTGTGCCCAGCATGAGTTGCCAGGTCCAGGGCTTGAACCATGGAATCTAGTGACATAACCATCACACCATCTGCTGGTCCACGTATTTGTTTTCTTTATATGAGTATATTGTCTTCAGTTCTTACCAAGAGTCTTTTTCCAGTTTGCCAATATTTGGGCTTTTTAAGGATTATTTTTGATGAATGAGATTTACCAAATTCACAGATTAAAAAAGAAATAAAAAATTATATTACTTAACTTTATTCATTTATTTAATTTGACCAAAGAAGGGCAGGACAAGAGAGAATGAAAGCAAGAAAATAAGTCACCAGGTCCAGAACTCAAACCAGGATCATTAGTGTTGGAGTCTAGTGCCCTTAACACCCCCCCCTTTTGCCCTTTTTTTTTTTTAAGAGGCTTTTGCCTTAGGGTGCATGCTCTTGCTGGGGAGAGACACAAACTGAAGCAGTGAGAGAGAAAGTGAGAAATCCCCCACTGGGTATGGCCATGCTGCAATCCATTCTCTTCCTGAGATCTTAGGCGCACACATACATGTGCCTGGCTTTATTTTCAAGCCACCAGGTCCAGGACTTGAGCTGTGGTTGGCCATGTGGCAGTCCACCGACGTAACCACTCTGCCATCCACTGGCCCCCCAGAACAGGTTTTAAAACATGTGGATAAGGGCCAGAAGGTGGCATGGTGGTTAAAGCACTGGGCTACCCTGTGGCAGCTTGGGACCTCATAGTGCATGTGCATGTGTGCCCACCCAAGACCCCCAGAGGAGAATAGAGAAAGTGATTTCTCACTTTCCCTTCTCTCTGTCTCCAGCAAGTACATGCACCCTATGGCAGCAAACAAACGAGACCAGCAGGAGGTGTCATGGTTACATCACTGGACTCCCACATAGTCGACTGTAGTTCGAGTCCTGGACCCGATGGCTTGAAACTCAACGCTTGTTGTGTGCCCAATACCCCAAGAGGAGAATGGAGGAGAAGGGATTGGAGTGTGGCCATCACTCCTGAGGGGATGATTTCTCACTTTTCTATCTCTGTCTCTGGCATGTGTATACACCCTATAGCCAAAATCTTTTTTCTTTTCTCTTTTTTTTTTTTTTTTTCAGAAAAAAAGTAGGTGAATGTTTATAAATAGTTTCAGGTGCCCCACTTTTCATTTTGTTTTCAAGTCAGCATTTTAAGAAATGAGTCTTTGACCACTTGTCTGTTACTGTGGTTGAGGCACCAGGGACTGAAGAAGAGGGCTCTAGATGGGGGGGGGGGGGGGGGGGGCTCCTGGATCTTAGCGTTCTCTGAGGCCCTGTTAAAAGTTATAAATAGTGGGAACCAGCAGTTAGCGTAATGGCTATGTCGCTGGACTCCCACGTAGTCGACCGCGGTTCGCGTCCCGGACCCGGTGGCTTAAAACTCATGCCGGGCGCATGTGCGTGCATGCCCAAGATCCCAAGAGGAGAAGGGATTGTGGTGTGGCCATCCCCTCTGGGGGGGTGATTTCTCGCTTTCTATCTCTGTGTCTCTCTCTGTCTGTCTGGCGAGCGCACATGCCTTATAGCGAAAACCTCTCCAAAAAAATAAAAAGTTATAAATAGAAATCTTGCTGGATTGGGACCAGCAGTTGGCATAATGGATGAGTCGCTGGACTCCCACATAGTCGACCATGGTTTGAGTCCCAGACCCAGTGGCTTAAACTCACGCCAGGCACATGTTCGTGAGTGCCCAAGAACCTGGGAGGAGAATGGAGGAGAAGGGATTGCAGCGTGGCCATTCCCCCCCCCCTCTTTCTGGCAAGCCGTACTTGCCCTGTAGCAAAAACTTCTCCAAAAAAAGTAAAATAAAATAAAACCGTCCTGCTGAGCACTTGTGTGCGAGAGAATGAAGGAGTTGCAGTGGCCTAACCCCTGAGGGGTGATCTCTCACCTTTGTGCCCTTCAGAAAAGAGAAGAAGAAAGATAAAAAGTTACAAATAGCTTAACTCTCTTTTTGATAATTGCATTTGAGTTCCAGCAGAGTTTGGGTACTAGGAAATATTCCTTAAAATTCCAATTTAAGATTCTGGCTGGGGTGTTTTGTGGGTCCCCATACTGGGCTAGCACCATGAGTGGAGTGGGGTGCATTGACACTGTGGGGGGCCTTCACTGGCAGCTGGCTAGGAGGCAGGTTTTCCTGTTACTGTGTGGTCCGTACCATGAAAGCCCCAATTTGGGCTGGATTCGGCTGGGTTTACTTAAGCCTCTGAGTATATCCTGAACACAGGGTTGCATGCCTGAGTCAGTCCCTAGGTGTTTACAGAGTTACCTTGAAAGTAATTGAGAAGGCAAAAGAGCCTTTGAGCCCTTTAGGAGCACAGGGGTTGAGCTGGGGCTCCTGGCACCCCCAGCTAAGAAAACAACCTTGAGGTCAGGGGGTACTTCCTCCTCCAGGGTTCCCAGGTCAGCGTCTGAGCTTCTGCCCCCTCCCCCGAGGCCCTTCAGGTTCCAGCGGCTCTGTCCCGCACTCACCGCCCGCTCACTTAGGCTGAGAACGGAGTTCCCACCTCTCCTAAAACTGCTTTTTTTTTTGAGGTTTTAGCTATAGGGCACATGTGCTAACCAGGCCGTGCGCTCGCCAGAGAGAGAGAGACAGCAAGAAATCCCCCCCCCCCCCAGGGGGGATGGTCATGCCGCAGTCCCTTCTCCTCCATTCTCCTCTCGGGATCTTGGGCACGCACGCACACGCGCCCGGCGTGAGTTTTAAGCCACCGGGTCCGGGACACGAACCGCGGTTGACTACGTGGGAATCCAGCGACATAGCCATTACGCCAACTGCTGGTTCCCATCCTAAAACTGCTTTCATGTTGGAGCTCACCTCTAGAAGTTCAGCTAATTGATCCTTCACCACCATCCCCAACCCTAACCGCCACCACCAGCTGTTATCCCCTGAATTCTTCCCTCTCTGACTCACTCCACCTGCTGTCACTGCCCCATCCCAGAGCTGCTCATGCCCTCCAGGGAGCCCCCTCTGCCCCCCACCAGTATGCACCAGCTGCTGCCTTCTCTCTCCAGAGCTCCGAGTCTTTCCCAGCTCAGGGCTGGGTCTCTAATCCACCTAGCAGCTGCCAGCACATCTTGAATCTTTTTTTGTTGTTTTAAAGAATTATTTTATTTATTGTTTTCACATGAATTTCACCAGAGAAAGAGAGGAAGAGTGAGAAAGCAAGCCACCAGGTCTGGGATTGAACCTTGGTTGGCCATGTGGAAATTGCACCACCCTAACCACCACACCACCTCCTGGTCCCACATCTTGAATCTTAACCTAAGGACCACTTCCTCTGGCGGCTCTTCTTGTGTGTCGCTGACAGCCGTTAGGTCTCCTGATGGGACGCCAGTCGTGCAGTTGCCTCAGGGATCGTCTGGGCATTGATTACTCTCTCCCAGGCCTGTCTGGCTCACCTGTCCTGCCCAGCATTTGGCTTGGTGCCTTGTCTAGGGTAGGTGTTTATTGGATCTTTTATGATTTGGCCCTTTTATCAACAGGACAAATCGATGGCCAGGAGATAACCGCCACTGCTGTGTTGGCCCCCTGGCCTCGGCCACCTCCCCGGCGATTCAGCCCTCCCAGGAGAATGCTGCCACCACCTCCCATGTGGCGCAGGTCACCCCCACGGATGAGGAGAAGGTAGATGGGGGCTTGTGTGTTGGTTGGGCCACCACCGTCAGTTTGGTTATTTGCGAGCCACACGTGGCTGTGCTCACTTGGAGACCCTTTATTCAGCCCCTACCTTTTGCTGGGGGGTGGAGGATCACTACAGTGAGTGACCAGCAGACTAGGCCTGGAGTTGCACTGGTGCCACTGTGTCAGAGGCATCCTGGCCACCAAGAAGCCTCCATGCTGTAAGACCAGGTGCAGTCCCTCTCCCTTGTCAGCTAAGAAAACTGAAGGGGTGAGTTGGGTCAGGAGTCATAGAGGCCAGGGTCTGGCCTCCCCTTCTGGCCTCTTGCCCTCAGAGAGGAGGGAAGCCTGAGTTGTGCCTCTGGTCCCAAGCACACCCCCTTTTTATTACCAAGAACTTCTGTAGGTTCCATCGAAAGGGAGCTAAAATGTAAACTGACAAGAATTTGCCCACCTCTCCAGCCTGTGCTGGACCAATCACTGTGACACCCACTCGTGTCTCCTCTTCCCACAGGTCACGCTCACCAAGGCGCAGGTCCCCTGTGCGCCGACGATCCCGGTCCCCCCGCCGCCGCCACAGGAGCCGCTCCAGTTCCAACTCCTCCCGATAAGCAGGGCCAGAAGCTCAAGCCCTCGATTCCACATCCTACACAGCTCAGCTTCGTCCCAGAGGTCCTAGGAGAGGAGAGCCCTCCCTCCGACAAGCCTTGAAGGCAGTGTTTGAGACATTTCTTCTGCAGGCCAAGCTCCAGCTGCAGAAGTACTGGTTTGGGATTGTGGCTGTAAAGATGCCCTTCAGTTTTCTGGCTAGAAGTTTACCTGTTTCCAGCTCCTGAGAGTCTGCTCCCTGGCTCCCCAGCGGGGGCCCCGCCAGTTCTGTTAGGCGTGGCCCTCTGCTACCCTGCCTGAGAGCCCTCTCACCTCTAGGACCACACACCCCAGAGAGCACCTCTCACCCATGTTAGTTTCTGTAAATGGTCAGACTTTCTGTGTGTTCATGTACCCCACACCTCCCTCGTTCTCTGAAATTGGGGAGCCAGCTCTTGCAGGATGGAGCCCACTGCATCTCCCCTTCATGGTGGTCTTGCAGGCTACCTTGGCGACATGTACATTGCTCTTTTTTGGCTCTTGTACAGTCAGTACGATGACACTTGTTTTGAGTTTTGTAACTTTGTAGCATTTTAGGTAAGTGGTGTTTGTACCTTGTGTGGGGTGAGAGGACTGTTGAATAAATTTAGGATTAGAAAAAAAATGATTAAAAAATTGAAAAAATGAAAGATCTAAATAAATGGTTAGACATCCTATATTTATTGGTCAGAAGATTTAATATTGTGACGATGACAATACACCTCAAGCTGACTTATAAATGAAATACTATACTTAGAAGAATCTCAGCTGACTTCTTTGTACAATTTTTAAACTTATTCTAAAACTTATATGGCATTGGAAGAACCCAGAATAGCCTGAAAAAGAACAATAAGGTAGGAGAATTAATATTTCCTGATTTCAAAATTTATTACAAACTAGTGGTAATCAAGGCAATGTGGTATCAGCAAAAGGACAGACAAATATTCCGTGGAATAGAATTGAGAGCCTTTAATATACCCATAAATTGGTAGTCAATGAGTATTCAGTAAAAGTGTTAATAGGGATAAAATAATCTTTTCAAGAAATGGTGTTGGGATAGCTGGATACCCACCAGTGAAAAGGGCAAAATTGAACCTTTACTCACACTGTAAGTGAAAATTAACTCAAAATCAAAGACTTGAGTATAAGACATAAAACTCTTAGGAGAAAACACTAATTTAATGTATTAGTGTGTGTGTGTGTGTATAAAAGATAAATACTATATGTCCCTGCTTAATACATACCGAATATTATCATTCATTAGTGGAAACTAGGGAACTGGATGGTATAGAAATAGAGAGTAATGGTAGATATTGGATGGTGGATTGGGGGGAAAGGGAAATGGGTAGAAATTGGTTAAGAAACACAAGAGTGTATGTAAATAGTTGGAATAAGTTTCGGAACCATATACCACAGTAGACTAATGGAAATTGGTGGCAAAACAATACATACTTCCAAAGAAACCAGTATAGTGACTTTCAGGTGTGCCCAATACAGTGTGGTTTCAGTAGTCGGGGGACAGTGAATGCTCCTATATCCTTGATTTATGATTGCGTAGTAAACATATGTTTTTAAAAAACCATACAGTATCTCACAAAGATATAAACCAATTAATAAGTAAATCAGAAATTACAATAAAACACCAGACAATAGAGAATTATTTTTTTTAAAAGATACTGTACCATTATCATTGCTCTAGTTCATTATGTTACTAACGGAAGTACCCAAGTCTGGTAGCATAATGAACAGAGGTTTGTTTAGCTCAGTTTTAGAGCCTGAGATGTCCAAGAGCCCAGTGCTGGCACCTGGTGAGGGTCTCTTGCTGCTGCACAGAACGGCAGAGGGCAGGAGAAGTCTGTGTCCAAGTATCTCTAGCTCATTCTTTTTCCCTATAAAGATACCAAGCAAATCATTGAGGCCCCACCCTGATTACCCTAACACTGAACTAATTACCACCCCAGAAAGGAAGACTCTGCCTTTTAACAGCATAATTGGATTAATGTTAATTATTATTATCTGAATTCCTTCACAAGTAAACCGCATTCTATCACCTGGACTTTAAAGAGATACATTCAAACTGCAACAACCAATTTGGACTTATTGCAAGCATAATAAATAATCCAATAAAAATGCTAATAATTTCTATTTAATTATAGAAAATCTATAAATGCGATGTATCGCTTTAATATATTAAAAAGAAAAATGATGTTTTAATGGAAACATTAGGAAATTCAATGCAATACATTTCTGTTAATAAATTAAGAACATAAGGGAACTCCCATTATCTGAGTGTGTATTTTCTCTTGTAATCTTTTTACTTTCTGCATTCTTTGTTACAACCCTTCTCTCATTCATAGGTTAATAATTGTAATTTTTATGTTGTTTGTGACAGTTTTTTCAAAAGTTTGCCTATTTTGTTAGGTTTTTTCAGAGAAGCAACTTTTGATTTTGTTGATTTTCTCTATTGCATGTTTTTTTCCATTATTGCTTTTCAAGTTTAGCTTCATTGTCTGTCCTTGTTTGTGCTGTTTGGATTGATGCTAACTTCTTTAGGTAAACACTATCTTGTTTTCAGCCTTTTTTCTTCTTTTTTTTTTTTTTTTTTTTTTTTTTTTTTTTTTTTGAGAGGTTTTTGCTATAGGGCACGTGTGCTTGCCAGAAAGACAGAGAGAGACAGAGAGAGAGAAAGCGAGAAATCACCCCCCAGAGGGGACGGCCACTCCTCAATCCCTACTCCTCCATTCTCCTCTCAGGATCTTGGGCATGCATGCAGATGCGCCTGGTGTAAGTTTAAGCCACTGGGTCCGGGACTTGAACCGTGGTCAACTACATGGGGGTCCAGCGACATAGCCATTACACACTATCTGCTGGCCCCTCAGCTTACTTCTTATGGCCTCCAGAACTATGAGAAATAAATTTATATTCTTCACAAATGATCTGGATTATGGTATTTTGCTTTAGCAGCCTAAAATGGACTAAGACACATATTAATGATCCTCATTTGGTTTCTCTTGATATTTTTAGTTCTTGTTTTATAATGGAATCCTTTGCTTTTTTTTGGGGGGGGGAGAATTTGCTACAGGGCACGTGAGCTTACCAGAGAGAGAGAGAGGGACAGAGAGACAGAAAGCGAGAAATCACCCCCCTCCCCCAGGGGGCATGGCCATACCACAATCCCTTCTCCTCCATTCTCCTTTGGGGATTTTGGGCACGCACGCACATGTGCCCAGCATGAGTTTAAGTCTCCGGGTCTGGGACTTAAATTGTGGTCGACTACATGGGAGTCCAGCGACATAGCCATTACACTAACTGCTGGTTCCTGGAATCCTTTGCTTTTTAAACTCAAACCTATTCATTATGCTTCAACCAACAATTCTATTTTTTTCTTTTTTGCATTCTCACTATTACTATTTATACATTTAATCACTACATATCTTTTAGATTGTAAATAGACTTTACCCAGCATGATATACTCCTCAGTCCAGCCCAGTTGAGGAAACTATACACATCATTATCGACAGGTAATGAACCATATCTGTGTCCCACAAATGTCTTACCTCTCTATTTTCCCCCAAAATTTTCTTTCCTACACTCCACCCCCCCTCCCACTGTCCTTCCACTTTGTCCCAGTGTCCATAACAATTATCAATGCTTTTATGTCCTCCAGCCTTTCAGTCTCAACCATAGGCTGCGGACAGTCAGTGTATGTTAAGTGAAGACATACAATGTCTCTGTTTCATAGCCTGACTTGCCTCGCTCAGCAATAAATCTTCCATATTTATCCACTTTCTATCAAATGCCAGGGAGGGTCTTGTCATTTTTTATGGCCAAATAGTATTCCATGGAGTATAGGTACCACACTTTTTCAATCCATTCATCTGTTTGTGGACATTTGGGTTAATTCCATGTCTTAGCAATAGTGAATAATGCCATAATAAATATAGATGTGCAAGCGCTTTTCCAATCGAATGTTCTCCTGTCCTTTGGGTAGATACCCAGGAGTGAAATTGCTGGATCATATGGTAGTTCTATTTGAAGGTCTTTGAGGAACCTCCATATTGTTCTCCACAGTGACTGGGCCACCTTACATTCCCACCAACAATGTAGGAGAGTTCTCCTTTCACCATATCTCTGCCAGCACTTATCATTTTTTAAAATGTAATCTTTGCCATTCTGACTGGGGTTAGTTGGTATCTCATTGTAGTTTTGATCTGCAGCTCTGTTATGATGAGGGATGTTGAGCATTTTTTCATGTACTTTCTGGCTGTTCGCCTATCTTTCTTAGAGAGTTGTTTATTCGGCTAATTTTCCCATCTATTTTTGTTTCCAGTGGGAACTAACTTAGCTATTATTTATCTCTTTATAGAATTTTGCTCTTCAATGACTTGTAACTTGTCCACTCATATTCCCCCAGGGCACTGGCTATGTGTGTGAGTCTGTGTCCACACCTCAAGGTACAGTGGTTCAGGTAAAGAGTGAATCTAAGATGGAGTGTCCCAGATCCCAGAAATTTTCAGTTGGTCATCTTTAACCCACTTCCCCACCCAGAGAGAAGCATTCGTAGGAAGACAAACTCCCGGGGACACTTCTAGTATGTGAAGAGAAGGATGTGGAAGGAATATCCTAAGCTTGGTGAACCATCACCTGGTCTCAGATTTTAACGCAGAAGTTTTACTATGCCTCGATTTCACTACTTCACCTGGACCAGGTGTGTAAGGTGTAGGTACAGTCAATGACTGTTTCTAAGCCACAATGGGGCATTACTAGGCACAGATCGAGAACAACCTGTTTCCTCTGGGTTCACTGTACAGCACCACTGGTCATCCCCTGCCCCAGGCTGTATGAGAACTACCTGCAAGTGTACTGTTGGGCATGCCTCTCCACTCCCTTTATAATGGCCTTCAGCTCCAGCTACCAAAGTCCCTCTCACTGTTTTCAATAGCATTTCTATATACAAAAAACAAGCAGAGACAGAACTGAAGAAAGTAATCCCTTTACCATAGCCACAAGAAGTATAAGGTACCTAGGAATAAAACTAACCAAGGAAGTCATAGACCTCTAGAAAGAAAACTATGAAAACCTTAAAAAGGAAATCAAAAAGGACACAAAAAAGTGGAAGGACATCCCATGTTCCTGGATTAGGAGAATTAATATAATCAAAATGACAATCCTACCCAAATTAATCTACATATTTAATGCAATCTCTATAAAATTACAAGAGATATTCTTCACAGATCTAGAAAAGACAATCATAGAATTTGTCTGGAATTATAAAAGCCCCATATTGCCAAAGCCATCCTGTGCAAGAAGAGTAGAGTGGGTTGCAATTCACTTACTGACCCCAAAATATATTACAAAGCTGTGTTAATCAAAACAGCATGGCATTGGCACAAAAACAGACATGAGGACCAATGTTTTCAATGATCTTAAAGAATTCCTTTAGGAATCCTCCATAGGTGCCATCAGGAAGGGTGCTAGCAGTCTTTGCTGCTCAGCATTTTCATGGAGCTATATTCTGATGAGTTTTTTTCCTCCAATCCTCCACTCAAGGCTGGAAATGCCCCCAGGTTCTATTCATCAGTTATTTTCACCTAGTGTAGCTTTGGGATAACTGATCATTCTTCTGCTTGAAGCACATCTCCCTGGACTTCAGAGTCTCCCATTCACTGGGTTTCTTGATTCCTGAAATTTTTTCATGACTTCTTTTACTACTTTTTTTCTGTTCAGGGCAGCCTCTGCTGCAGTCTCAGACTTTGGCCTTCTAGTCTTTTCTATCCATTTCCTCCTTAGGTGATTTTAAATTCTAAATCTGCCAGTATCTCTAAAACCCACCTTTCTTGCTTACTCCACAGACTCCAATGCCCACTTCAAGTCTTTTGGGGGATGTCTAACAGGTATTTCAATCTTACCTCATACAAAATTTGGATCCTGATGTTCCCTCCAAACTACTGCCTCTTGTTTACTTCTTCAGCCAAAATTGTTCTTGTAGTTGCCAAGATTTGGTGTCAATCTTGACGTCTCCATCTTCTCATCCCCTATACAACCCACCTGAAAACATTGAGGTACTATTTTCACAATATACCTCAACTCATCAGATCTTGGTTTCCCTTTAGACAATGCTGATGTACTCCAACATAGCCTCATGTGGGTCTTCCAGCGCCAGCTTGTCTTCTGTAGGTCAGCCAGAGTGGCCTGTCTAGCAGTGTGCAAGACGTGAAGGACACACCATAGCCTCAGCTCCCACCTCTTCATGCCTGACCCCATAACCAGGCCTTCCCAGTGGCTGCACTTGCTCCTACCTCAGGATGCTGTGTGCTTCTAGCTTGGACTATTTCACCCCTCTGGCAACAGAATGGTATGCTACCTCCTTTTTTCAGATCTTGATTAAAATGTCACCTTCTCAGTGAGTCCTTTCTTGCCCAGCTTTGCCAAAAAAAAAAAAAAAGAAAAGAAAAGTAGAAAAGAAAACAGCAGGATGCTACTTCATATTTCCTAGGATATACAAAGTAGGCGACAGTACTGGTTCAGTGTGGGACAAGAAGAGGAATTAAGACCATCTGGGAAGGCAGTTGGCCTGTGAGAATGGGCTATAGGAGAGGGACCTGAGATGCTTCTTCTTTGCAGAATAGTGCCCAGAGGGCTGGTGGAGCTAGAGGTCGGGCAAAAATGCAGTGTTTCCCTCGCAGGGGCAGAAGGACGTAAACAGGTGGAGAGGTAGAGGAGTGGAGGGGGAAAATAATTATATTTACTATAGGAATCGTTGAGATGGTAACAGAGTAGAAGTAAAAGACATTATCTACATTCACATTATCAGCGTTAACATTTTGGTGTATTTACTTTTAGTTTTATGTGCGTTTTAATCTGCTTTTCTGTCATTAATAACCAAACACCACCCTGGGTAATTTATAAAAAAAAGAGGTTTATGTAGCTCATGGTTTTGCAATTGTAGGACAAGGGGCTATATCTGGCAAGGGTCTTCTTGCTGGAGGGTTCTCTATGCAGAGTCCTGAGATGGTGCAGGGCTTCACATGGTGAGAGTCAGTCATGGGGGCCCCACTCTGAAGACCTAATCCCAATCTCCCAAAGGTTCCACATTTCAACACCATAGTCAATTACATTTTTCCCCTCTTACTCTTGCCACAGCCAAATTGCAACATGTGAATGTTGGGCACATTCAAATTATAATTGTATATAAATATGTGTGTACATAAATGACTACATTCTGTTTTTCTTTCAGTCTTTCACATTTTTCTGTATTATTAACTCTTGCTGAGAAATGTTTTTGAGGTGACAATATTCTTTTGTACGATGCATTTAAGTTTAAAATGGTCCTTTACTTAACTGTGCACGTGTCTGATGTTGCCTTAGGATTCGTTTCTGCAGTGGAACGACTGCTTCAAGAATTCTGACCAGAAGAAGAATATCCCTCTGGACAGGATGCCACAGCTGAGAATCTGGAATCCTATTACGATGCCCTCATTGACATGCTGCTGTTATTTTTTCCAAAGTGTGTCAGTTTGATAGCTGACTCCCAAGAAGTCTCTTCTGTAGTATCTTCATTCCTTTAACTCAGGAACCTCGGCACCCCTGTACACTTGTGCCCTTGTTTATGGAGTGACTGGGTTCATGCAGCCTTGGAGACTGTGGAAGCGAAATCCTGAAGAATGTAGAAGGTGGGCAAGGATGAAGGCAGAGGGGCAGGGGGGGAACTCCAGGAGTCTAGGGGAGGGGAGTAGGTGGAGGAACTGGAGGAGCAGGAGAAGCAGGTGGGCGCAACCTCAGGCATTTACTGGAAGTGGCAGGAGGAAGTGGTGATCAAAGATACTGCATTAGGGAGCTCCAGACGCACAGGCCAATAGATATGGTCATCCCTTTATCCATCTATCATTTGTCTATACCTATCTACCTACCTACCTGTCTACTTATCCATTATCCATATCTAAGCTGTCACACAATCATCTCTTATTAATCGTCTTCTATATCTGTGTTAACCAATCATTTATCATCTATCTATACTTGATATTTATCTATCAATCAGTCATCTTTCTGTTATAGATCATCTATAGTAATGCTATCTATCAACCAATTATCTATTATCTATCCATCTGTCTGTGCTATCAATCTATCATCTACTCTCTATCGATCTATCATCTATCCATCAAGGAAATAGATTATGAAAAACTGACCTGCATAATTATAGAGGCCCGGAAATCCCACCACCTGCCATCTGCAAGCTAGTAGACCAGGAAAGTTGGTGAGGTAATTCAGTCTGGTTCCAAAGACCTGAGAACCAGGGGTCTGATGGTTTAAGTCCCACTCTGAGGACCAGAGGATATACCCCAGATCAAGAAGGCAGGCAGGAGAAAAAGGTGCAAATTTCTCCTTCTGTTTTTGTTCTGCTCAGGCCCTCAGTGGTTGGACAATGCCTGCCATGTTGGGAGGGCCATCTGCTTTTCTGAGTCCACCAGTTGTAAGACTAACCTCATCTGGAACATCCTCCCAGACTCTTACAAGTCGTTTAATCTGTGCTCTTCATGGCTCAGTCAAGTTGACACAGAACTCACCACAGCAAATATGGAAGGTGGCAGAGGTTAGAGGTTTATGAGTGAGGACAGGAGGGTACATGTGTTAGTGGCTTCCAGGAAGGCAAACCCAGGGGGCTTTGAAGTAAACATCACTGTGCCATTGTATCCCCACAGCTTTGCAGCAGTTCCAGTCGTGGATCCCCAGATACACAGCCTGGCCACTGAGGTACTGTGTGATCCCAACACAGCATACCCAGGGCTCATTTGTGTCTGTTCTTCAGGAGCCCGGTCTGTCATCACAGCTCTGCTAGCACAGCACTTCCATGGGACCTGCCCACTCATTTTTCCTGGTTTCTTCTGTGATCAGCCTGATGACTACATCCCATGCCCTGGCCTCTAAACACTTTCAGAACCTATTTGATTACTCACCACACATGCCGCTCTGTGGTAAAGGAGTCTTTTGAGGTGTTTCATCAACACCAACATCTGACAATGACATGTTGTTCTTTGATATGGCTTATCCTTCAATGCTCTGAAGCCATGGACTCAGTAGTTTGCCTGAAGTTGTTCTGTGACAGGGGACAATGATTTCAAGCCTGCAGGGAGGGGCCTGGGACCCCAGAATCCCAATCAACATTTTCCTTCTCTAGGTAGAAGGGCCACACAGACAGAGAGGGGCTGAACTGTCAAGTGTCTGCCCTGCTCCCTTGCTCTGTTCTTGGTGCTAGATAGGACCATGAGGGACACAACCCCACCACAGCAAGGCCCAGACAGTCAGAGATGGCATTTGTTGACCAGCTCTAACCTGCCTGCATATCATAATGGGAACAGAGCTAACAACACAGCTGCCAGATCTGGATCATTCTGACAAGTGGCTAATGCCACCATGGGATGCCAGCGGATGCCAAAGCCATCTAGTATGAATTCTCTGGTAGAAATGAAGGCAGGAAAACACACATATTTATTACGTTTTCTACCATGCTGCAACATTCTGTGCTCTCAGAGTTACTGCATTAGTGATATAAAACCCAGAGACAATTAGGAATAAGGAGAACTTTTTATTTTATGGTAAAAACTTTATTTAGTATTTATAAATACAAGACAAACTTTTCAAAAATACTAACTGTCAAGTGTCTGCCCTGCTCCCTTGCTCTGTTCTTGGTGCTAGATAGGACCATGAGGGACACAACCCCACCACAGCAAGGCCCAGACAGTCAGAGATGGCATTTGTTGACCAGCTCTAACCTGCCTGCATATCATAATGGGAACAGAGCTAACAACACAGCTGCCAGATCTGGATCATTCTGACAAGTGGCTAATGCCACCATGGGATGCCAGCGGATGCCAAAGCCATCTAGTATGAATTCTCTGGTAGAAATGAAGGCAGGAAAACACACATATTTATTACGTTTTCTACCATGCTGCAACATTCTGTGCTCTCAGAGTTACTGCATTAGTGATATAAAACCCAGAGACAATTAGGAATAAGGAGAACTTTTTATTTTATGGTAAAAACTTTATTTAGTATTTATAAATACAAGACAAACTTTTCAAAAATACTTTTTTTTTTTCCCAAAAACTTAATTAAAAAAATAAAGGAAAGCTGATAGGTAGGTAGAATGTCTTAAGACCCCTCTGTGTTCTCCAGGAGACTTTCTGCAGGGTGCATCCACGCTGAGGGCTGTGGCAGGGTCTCCTTCTCCCCAGAGTGGCCAGACTCCTCGGGTTTGGCCCCCAGGAGAGCAGCCCAGTCTCTGGGCATGAGCTCCTTTTCTCCGTCGTGGCTGCAGCCATGTCATCTAGCATCTCTAACACTTCGTCTAGGATTATCTAGTATAGATTCTATTATATTTGGGCTATGTCGTATATAATGTCAACAGTTAAGAACATATCCTCTCTGCATATATGTGCTAAGTATAAGAAAAGTATGAGAACGAGTCCAAGTTCAACAACCTTGGGTGACTGCATCCTCAATGTCTTCAACAAACCACTTATCTCTCCTTTGTAGACAGTTTTACGAGGACACAGTGAGATAAAAATAACCTCTGCCTTTAAAGAGCTTATCCTCAAAAAATCAGGCTTGCCTGGAGTCACTGAACTAGAAAACACTATTTTCTGCTGTCATGCAAGGACTCGTGCTGTTATTTGTAATGCCTCTGGACATGGAGGCCAACTCCCAGTTCCCCTGTCCCTCCTCTGTGGAGCCACAGCAAAAGTCACCCAGGCCTTCAACCAGGCCACATCTTTAGAAAGATGCCTGACAAAAAAGGATCAGAAATACCTTCCTTTATAGGTTCCCAGAGTGCCCTAAAACATTCTCTGTCACATTTTTTTTTTTTTTTTAACAAGACTCCACCTTATTCTCTTTAATAGTCCCCCGCAGGACAGGTCACTTGAAGATATGAATGGTCTTCTTGGTCAAGAAGCCTGGGCACTGGCTTTGAAAATGGCACAATCCAAAGGTTGTGAGCTCCAGGAGGAGGCAGCCAGGTGTCTGGACAACTGGGGTTTGGGGGTTCTTGTTCTCCACAAGGCTGTGCTCGTTGTACACAGAGAGGGGATGAAGTGTGAACTCTACAAAGCAACACGGCACTGAAGTCACGGAGCCAGAGGGGCAGCTACTCGCTATTGCCAACACAAAGGCACTGAGGGCCCCGTGTGAAGGCAGGTCCCCATGCTGTGCTGCATTGACAGGGTTGTCACAGGATGCGATGAAAAGATTCGAACTGCTTTCCCTGATTCCTGGATGGCAGGAAGATGCTCCAGTTTGCAGTGAAAGGAAATGCAGGCATTTTGAACATCTCTTTCTAAACTTTGGTTTGAAAAACAATCAGGCCACCACAAACAGAAATGGAAACTGAGGCTGGAGCCAACTGCTGACCATGTCCTCGGCTGTCTTTTGTGCAAAATAAGGCGAGTTTGAGCTCCACATGAACTGCAAAGGGAAGAGAGAGAATCTACTGAAACATCCCTGAATCCAAAGGGCTCAACTCCTTCCTGAAGCTACCTGGGTACGGCCTGCAGCAAATGGCACTACCTTCTTGTGATGGGTTAATGTTTCAGCCTATGGTTTTAACAGAGTAAGCAACACTGTGAGACACTTACGATGTTCACTGGCAAAAAGGGTTACCCTGAAATGATAATTTGCTTTTTCCATTTTGCAAGGAAAAGCTTCTTCTGCTTGCTAAATCTGCCTTAAAAAATGAAAAGAAATGCATTTATTCTTTTTTCCCCATTAGCTCCCTTATTTATTAGGAAAAAAAGAAAAATATGGAATCTAAGGGATCTTCAAAATGATGGCTTAGAATATTACTTTTGTATTAGATTTAAATAAACTTAATTAAAATTACATTAACCAGAGACTAACAGAATAGTCACAATGTATTTTGCAGGGGTAAGAAAGCAGTCATGTGCTGGCCCTGTGGTCTAGTATTTAAGGGAGCTAGATCTCACATGACTGACTGCAGTCTGAATCCCAGCCTGTGACTTGAAGAACACACCTTGTCTGTTTGCATGTGTGCCCCAAATCCTGACAGGACAGAGAAATGGAGAAGAGACTGCAGGGTTACCATGCTCTATTAGAGTGCTTTCTTCTTTTCCCTCTCCCTTTCTGTCTGTCTCTCTGGCAAGTGCACATGCCCCCTGGCAATTAAAAATAAAAACGGAGGGACCAGCAGCTGGCGTGATGGCTATGTCAACTCTACTCCCATGCAGTCGACCTGGGTGCGAGTCCCAGACCCAGTGGCTTAAACTCATGCCAGTCATGTGTGCATGCATGCCCAAGATCTCAAGAGGAGAATGGTCATCCCCCCTGGGGGTTATTTCTTGCTTTCTGTCTCTCTGTCTTTCTGGCGAGCACATGTGCCCTATAGCAAAAAACCTCGCCCCCGCGGGAGCGGGGGGGATAATAATAAAAAAAGGGAAATAAACACATCACTCATCTTCATATCTTTCTTTTTCTTTCTTTCTTTTTTTTTTTTTTTTTTTAAGGTTTTTGCCACATGGCATATGTGCTCACAGAAGAGAGACAGAGAGACAGCAAGGGAAAGTAAGAAATCACTGGGGGATGGCCATGCCACAATCCCTTCTCTATTCTCCTCTTGGGATTCTGGGCACATATACATGCCTGATATGATTTTCAAGCTGCTGGGTCTGGGACTTGAACTGCGATTGGCCATGAGAAAGTGCAGTGCCTTAACCACCATGCCATCTGCTGGCCCCTAGACACATCTTTAATTTAGAAACACGCTTTGTACATGCGCTTCTGGATTAAAATAGCTGAAGATAAATGAGCCTGCTAACTCACACGATCAAAGCTTAACTCTGCACTTGGGCTTTGTACATGCAAGTTTATATGTCGTGAAGTCTTTAAAACAGACTGTCTCTATTTCTGTGCTTGTTGGGTTGGGGTGGTGGGCCCATCTCCCTGCACCATCCTGAGGGGGGTTGGCCCATTTGCTTTCTTCACTCCAGGCTTGGACTGCAGCCCCTGGAGTTGGCAGGCCCAGGGAATATCTAGTGGGCAGCCCTGAGCAACTCTGTTTTGCTTCTGCCTCAACCCAACCATTCCCAGAATCAGGAACCTGGGGCCACCACACAGCCCCAGCCCCATGTTCCCCTGGCTTACTGTGCAGCGGCGTCTACTTGCTCTGAAGGCTGTAGCAGGCCACCTCTTCCTTCCCCTTGCTGTCATAGCCTGGGAGAGGCTGCCCATACTTGTCGACGCACCAGCAGAAGCCACGTTTCCGACCTTTAGAAGGGCGGCACTGTGGGACAGAAGCAGAAGAGTGAGCCGTGAATACTCTGGGCCCAGGATCCAGCTGGGAACCCGAGACTAGCATGGTTTTCCTGGCGTGGCTCTGCTGAGAATCATAGCAGAGATTCTGGCCAAGAAGATGTGAGCCTACACATGTGTAGGTGGTGGTGTGGCACTTGCAGGCCTGTCCCCAGGTAAGCCATGGTGAAGGTGGTTTGCTGCCCCCTCCTGGGCCTGGAGGCTTATCTGCCAAGTGAGGGCATGATGCCCTTCTGTCTGCCTGGGTGGGGAGGCCCACACCTGGACCCATCCCAGCAGCCTTCAAGGATGAATCTGCTGAGCAAATGACAGATAGAAAACGCTGGTGTGTAGGTGGCTGAAACCCACGATGGCTCTGGCCACCAGGCAAACAAGGGGACATGCCATGCAGGGGCCAGGTGGCTACTTAGGTCTTTGAAGGCCAGCTCTACAAATACCCACTGAGACACTGCCAGGTTCTAATACACTGCTCCATGGGGGCAGAAGCATAACAACCTCTTAGATTAGGGTTGTCTGGTTGTCTTTTATAGCTTGTTGCCAGCAGCTAAAGAGGATCACGTGGGATCTTAGGGTGGGCTTTGTCACATGACCTCACATCACCTTTCCTGGAGAATGGCTACTATCCTTCTTTGAATTTTCCTCCATGGTGCAGTACCAACAGCAGTGCAGTACCAATGGCAGTGGCCCAGTGTCTCTCTACAGTGCAATGGGCTCCCCTGGGCAGTACCCCTTTGCCTGTGGAAGGGAAGGAGCCAGAGCGGATGGCAGAATAGCCCTAAGGTGCATCCAGCATCCCTCAGTGCTGCTGAGACCAATACCGAGCCTTGGGCCCTAGTGCTGGGTGGGGCTCAGGAAATGGGAGAACCTGAGTTAGTGAAATTGGATTCCCCACAGCACAGGAGAGCAGAGCAAGAGAATACAAGGAGGCGCTTGTTCACCTGCTTCTTCTTGTAAAAGCCCTTCTTGTCACAGTTTGGGATATGGATGCCTCGGGGACTCAGAACGTTGAGAAACTTCAGGTGATTCAATGTGTCCTCCATCTCCCTGCGGCAGGGACCCTGGGGATTAAAAATCCAGGACAGTGGAGCATGGTTACTACTCGGCGACGCACACTTGTTAACTCTAATCATGCCCACTAACCACCATGGGCAGGGCCTGCAGTAGGTCTGCACATGCCTTTGGCCTGATTCAGCGTGGAAGTCTGTGTGGGTGCTCACCACCTGCCCTGTTCTCCGAGGAAGTCACAGAAGCTGAGTGACAGCCAGTAGCTGGTCAAAACTTAGAAGACCAAGTAGTAGAATAAAACTGTCTTTATGAAGATATTTGTCTTTATCTGTAAAGGGTTTTAGGGCCTGTGTACTTTTACAAGAGTCAGTTCACTCAGTCCTCAGAGATTCCCTGAGACTGGACAGTGTCAGATTCTTTAGGTAAGGAGAGGCAGGGAGGGGCCAGAGGCTGCCCAGGCAGCAGCCAGACCTGTTGCTGGGACCTGTTGGGCAGACATTGTACCGTGGGGCTCTGGGCATCCCAGCTGGCAGGGCCCACCCTCCTCCCTGACCCAGAGAAAAGGTCCTCACGTATTCTGTCTCCCGCTTGGACTCGGAGGAGAAGTTCTGGGTGTCGGTGCTCTGGGACTCATAGTCAACTTTGTAGCGCTGGCTGTCCTTGGCGTGCCCTTTCTTGATGATGTCCATCTTGGTGTGGGGGTGGAATTTAGGGTCAGTCACTCGGTGTGTGCTGGGCAGGGCTCCGTTCTCCACACTACTGATGCCATGGTCCTCTTCTGATTCGCTGGTATTTCCTTGAAAACACAGACATAGTGGTCAGGGTCACTTAGCAACAGCCTTCCCAAATCCTACTGTTGTGACCCGATCCCAGCCACATGGCAGCATCATTCAACAATTACAACTAGGTAAAACTGCTACACAGCAGTTGCTTTACTGCAAGAAGTCACTTGGTTAGTGACCTGCCTGAAGGTGAAGGCAGTGTAGCTGCATCATCCACCAGCAGGGGGCAGTCCCAATTCACTAAGGCTGCTGCTGTGCTAACTCCGAGGACTTGCTGGTGACCCTAAGGCTGATCCAGAAGCAGCAGCCCTGGGGATTAAAGAAATGCACATTCTCCATCCCAGGGACATGTTGGGGGGGGTGCCTGTTTAGGTTTTAGGCAAACTGGCTGTGTCAGCCCACCTGGACTGCACACCCTGTAATGCCCTCCTGTCTCCTGGTCAACACAGGAACAAAGGGGACACCAACAGCACCAAGGTTACACTTCTACATGCCAACAGCTTTCCTTCCCTGGGTGAGGGGAGGACAAAGACCCCTCCCATAGGTCCCCCTTTTATAATCCCAAGTGCTAAGTGGAGAGAATCCAGTAATTGCCAGGGAAGATGGACCGTCCCAGCTTAATTGGGATTTCAAATTCATGTCTACATTTGTAGCTGTATGCGTAGCCAATTCTCGTTCCATTTCTTCTCCAGGATGAACGTAGAGTGGCTCTGGGACCCCTGTGAAGGTCACAGGCTCCGTCAAAGATACTCCTGGGTGGCGAACTGTGCCCCAGTTCAGACCCCAGAAAAGCTTCAGTTTCAGCCTAAGTGACTGCCCTGGGGCTATTTACTGGGGTGTCCATCTGAATCTATTCTGCCTGGGGTTTTGCGGTGCCTGCTTCCAGTTGAACTGCTTCCTGTCCTCATGCCCTGAAGGTGGCAGCCTGCCCTCAGGGAAGCCTCCAGGTGGGGATTCTGGGGAAGTCCCCCACCTCTCAGAGTCTCAGTCTTCTCACCTATAAAATGAGGAAACCCCCTTAGGGGCTGTAGAATTCCCCAAGGGCTTTGGGCCTCTAGAGCACAGATTCTTGGGGTCCACCTCAGAGTCTAACAGAGGGGTTATTTTTTTTTCCAATTTTAGTTTTTTTTTTCTTTCAAGGAAGTATAGGAACAAAGGATTTGCTAAGAATATGTAAATAAACATATTTGCATGTCTTTTCTATGAGTAATTTCTTAAGCTTCCTTAGTTTCTTAGGGTCTAGAAGGCTGACTAGGGCTTGAAGAGAAACTTTCCATTCCAACAACACATCATTGTGACTTGGGACTGTCTTAGGCATGTCACCATTTTTCTTCAGATGAATTTTAGAAGTCACTTAGATCTTTGTCCAGTCTTCTGACAACACACATTAACCTACACCGTGGAGTTACTATGGTGGTAATTATAATGACTGTTATTAAAGACAAACTGACAACGAAATACCCAAGTATTTTTAAGAACTTTTTCAATACCCCAAATGCATTAGAATGTAGCAAGTGACACAACTTTATGAGACAAAAGCACCCAGTGATTTAAACAGCTGACTAGAGCCAGGGTAAGTTTCAGGGAACTGGAAACTTGCCTTTCCACCAATGCAGGGTTTGGTAACACCCGCTTTGCGCAGCATGGAATAGGTTTACCTGAGAGTGGACCTCGGTGGCTACAGAAGCGACAAAGGGACCATCCATCCTGCTAGCCCTGGGTGGGGGCCTTGCCCAGAGCCACCTGTCCGGTGTGAAGGTTGAGGGTGGGAGAATTCCCCCAGCCTTCAGCTGCGCGGGATAGGAACGCCTCACTGAGGCTGGCTACTGGGCTGACTGTCCAGGACACCTGCCCAAACTACTCACATTTCTTTTTTTAAAGGGAACAGCCTGATGCCTTTAACAGACTCGCAGCCTGCCGGACAGTGGCTAGCCCGGAGGTGTAACCGGTGAACATTTGCGTTTTCCTCGTCTGGGACTCCCTTTCCCTGGATCTCATTCCTTCCGCTTTAGATCTGGAGGGAAACGGTCCTGGGTATGAGTCCTAATTCTTTCCCTGTCGCCGAGATCTTCTCAGGCTTTCTCCCACGAACCTCGCGTGGGGTGTACAAGTGGGATGGTACCGAACCGGCTTCAAACCTACACTCCACCGCTGCCTCTGGGTGGCCCTGATAAGTGTCCTCTTTTGGAACCTCAGGTTTTCTAACCTCGAAAGGTGAACTACCCAAATCTCATCTCGGTCGTTAGGGGTCCAAAACAGGAACATGACGTTGCTTTGCAAATAAAGAAACCGGGAAAAATACTTCAAAAGACGAATACCATTTCTTACGACGTGTCTGCCTAACTGTCCCAGTTCAAAATCTGTCCCCTGACCGCCTCCCTGGGCCCACATTTCCAAGCGCTCACAGAATCAGCACGCTTCCTCCGGGCTAATACGCAGAAACCGCGTTCCAGAGCTGGGCTAGACGGTCCACACCCTAGTCCCTGCGCTGGGCTCAGGGAAATCTCCTGTGTCCAGGACCTTCTCACTGACAGCCACCCTTGATATCTGCTGTCCTCGAAATCTTTTGCCCACTGTCACGGAAAGCGCTTTGTGATTTACCAGCACCGCATTCCAAGAGCGGAGCCAGTCCTCAGGCAAGCGCCTCTGCCTCCCCGCAGCGCAGTTTTTCCCTGTACAACCCTCGGGGCGGGGAAAAGGGCGGAGACTCCGCCACTGCACGACCCTAAATCTAGCCCGACGCGCGGGGACACGGCGTGGCGCCCGGTCCGGCCCTGGCTGCTCACCTGGCGCGGGCGGCGCGGTCAGCAGGTAGGCGCGCAGACTGCCGGCGGCGCTGGCGTTGGTGCAGAGACCGCGGCCCTGCAGCAACGCGTGCAGCGGG